CAAATTAAGTTGGAGGTGGCAAAGCGTTTCGATGATAACCGTGATCTTTGAAACATAATAATAACTACAATCAGAACTATGTCATAGCACAAGCCACAGCAACTATCTGACATAGAAGATTTGAGTTACATAGGGCTGTAATCTGGATATTTTGAATTCTAGTGGCACAGTAAAAACAGCCGTGAAATCCCTGGACTAGATAGACAGATAGGTGGATAGATTATCTTTAATGAAACTTTACTGACCCCACAAGACAATTATTGAGTCTGAGCAGCAGGATAAGAATAAAAAAGTGCAGTATGCAATAAATAAACAACATAGTCCCAGTAAAAGTGCCACATGCACATAGAGTAGCCTTTATACTTTGAGATATTGCAAAAATTCACATACACAACGGTGATAAAAAACAACAACAAAGAAACTAAAAAAGAAAACAAATGAGACAAGCTAAACAAGAGTAAACAGTAAGACTGAGATCATGTAAATTGCATTAATAAATAATTTGTACACTATAAGAATATGTCTTGCATTCAGTAGTAACACATAATTCATAAATGACTGATTTTTAGTGAGGGGGAGGTGTAGACATGGTGGTTAATTATGGAAAAATCACCTCAGCTATCGCTTGCTATTCAAAGTAAATATCTTTGTCCTTTCAACATGACTTCAGAGGATTTTAAGACCCAAACCATGAACTCCACTTTCACCTTCTTGAACTACATTCAGGACCAAATATTTGAAAATAACACTAATGGGAGGGAGAAAAAAAGCAGGATTTCCTCCACTGAGATGGCAATGTAAACGGACACTGTAGCACAGAGCTCCGCCGCTGTGTTACGGCAGCTTACCTAACAGTGTTTAACCTGGAAATGTTTCTCTGCGAGTAGACAAACATCCATTTGACCGCGTGATAGTAAAACTCTGCACTAAAACCGATTCACATTGAATTCATCAGGGTGGGGCTCCTACTGCCGGTTCCCACCCTGTCTATTGAATAGCAGGGGAAACACTGCTCCTTACTGAACATAAGCACTGTGGCTCTTTAACACTGAGACTTTTAATGTACTGTATGACTTCACTTTAACCCTTCCCCGCCACTCTTTGAACCTCAAACTTTGGAAAAGCCTGTAAATTATATTTATCTCCGGTTGTTCCAAAAACACGAGGATCTTATGGTGCCAGTTCAGATGTTATAACTGCACAGCTCAGATTCAGCGTTTCAGTGACATAAAAAGAGTCACAGAAACCCAAGCGGGCCAAAGCTTTTCAAGCCGCTCCACCTACAGCCTATGGTTTACTCCAGCTATTTCTTAATTCCAAAGCGAGAAAAAAATAGCAGGTTTTACAGTAGCAATTACATAAATTCCCATAGAGGTGGTGGCAGTGGTGGTGGTGGTGGTGATGGAAAACTCAGTCCCAGTGTTCAAAATAAAATCCTTCACCCTGAAGGAGGAAGGAGCGTGTCTCAAAAGTTGTGAAGACATGAAAGGAGAATGTCACTGTTGCCTCTGACGTTCCTCCCCCTCCCTGCAGCCACTACTACTCAAGTTTATCTTTCTTCCTGTCTTTCATCACAGAGGTTATTAAACCCTGCGAGGGAGCTCCGCCATGTCTAATTACGCCAACGGTAAACAAAAGGAGGTCGGGTGGTGAAGGAGTGAGGAGAACGAAGAGGAGGAGGAGGAGGGAGGAGAAGAGCGACAGATGAAAAAACACAGCTGGCTGAGCGCCGTGTTATTATAATTCTTTAAGCAATACTGTTAGCTTGGTCAGTCTTTTAGCTGTGCAACTAATGACTAGCTAGGCCTAATTACAGGCCGCTGGTGCTGTGCCGGGACGTGATATTCCTTCCCCGGATGGTTGTTAACTTCCCCCACAGCCAAGGCCCAGCCCGACTCCCATTACCTCCCCAACCCTTCCTCGCCCACAAAACCCCAAATTACCTTTAAAGGTGTTGTATTGTTCTTTTGGCAACATACACACCAGCGTTTTCCACTGTGCACACATCAGACACACCCAGAGTGGGTGGAAATATCACAGCTGTTGTAAAAGATATTCCCGGTCTTCCCCGCACGCCTCAGAATCTAAGGCGAAACTTAAAAAAAAAAGAGATTTACCCCACTAAACAGGAAGAACAGGAAAAACAAAAACACTGGGATAAAAGTGGCTGGTCTGAAAGCTGTGTGTGTGTGTGTGTGTGTGTGTGTGTGTGTGGTGTGTGTGTGTGTGTGTGTGTGTGTGTGTGTGTGTGTGTGTGTGTGTGTGTGTGTGTGTGGGCGCGTGCTTTCAGGAGCAAAATGTGGAAAACAAAGATGATTTGTTACACTTAGAATTACACCATAATCTCAAAACTATTGCTGCAGAAATTTTTTTGGCCGATTCTGGCCTCTTTTGTCATCTGGAAGATATTTAATATCAGATGTCGATTTAAACCCAGCTCGCTAAAATGGTGCAAATGAGAAAATAACAAGGTCCAAAACCTCACAGGGATTAGAGCTGGGAAAATAAAGTTGTCCTGGTTTAAAGGTTGCTTTATAGCCCTAGCAGACCGAGCAAGGCACGAGAGTCATTTGTGGCGAATCGAGGCGCAGCAAGGCCAAATTCATGAAGACCAAATCAAAATTGACAAAAATGTATTAAATTAAAAATGGGTCTGATGATGTCAGGGATTACTTTGGGATTAAAAACATGAGGCAGTGGAATCAGGTTGACCTCACACATCAGGGGCTACACTTTGGGAGGTTATTTTTAGAAAACACACTTGCTGAGTTAGTTTAAAAAGCCTCTATGTGGACGCTACTGCACACATTCGAAACAAACACGTTGCTGCCGCTCGCTCTTAGATCTCCCGCTTCTTTGGAAAAATATCCGTGAGGGTGAATTCCCGGCCAAACAGAAACTGGGGGACAGCATCCACATTTTGTTTCTCCCCATGAGCGCTCCACAAGACGGATGCTCTCCCCATCCATCGCGGCCTCCTCCCCGTCTCTGAAGTGAGTGATGCGGTATTGAAACCATATGCCCTCCTGAATTCCTCGCGGATCCTCCCATCCCGTCCAATCCCTGCAGTCCTCTTGCTGGCCACGGACACACGGCTGTCGCGAGGGGGGCCTCCCTGCTTCCTGTGTAGGATCTAAATATTTACACTCCCAGTCGTCCCGAGTGGCGAGGCGGAGAGGTCTTGATGTTTTGGGTTATGTAAAGTCCAATCCTCCAGGACGCATATTTAACAGATTGTCGTTGTTAGAGCACTTTTTTCAGCAGACTCGCTCCGTGGAAAGTTTTTCATCCTCCCGATGCAGAAGGGGACACAAAAAGCTTTATACTGAAAGGGAGCAGGGTTTGAAATCCACGCTGTGTACCCCAGAATAATTTTGTCTTTACGACATCCTGCCTTAAAGTCTTCGGACGTCTCGAGCCAAAAGTGACAGCTGGGTGGTGGAGAATACAGGTCTGGAGCCAAAACTGAACATGTGGTGAGATCTAACTGTCCCGTAGCATAACAAATGATGAGTCTTTGTTCTGTGTCGTGTCAGCCAAAGCTTTCATCTAATGCAATTACTAAGAAAAAGCCCTGCAGGAATTTAACATACAACCTCTGGTGTTAACAGCAGTGCCGCGTAACCTACTGAGAAAGTCGCAGCAGATGCTCTGAGCAAACACAAGATCGAGCCAACAAATCTCAGCAGAGGGTTTTGCAGGGAGTAGCGATGAGAGCAAACCTGTCCTGGAAATGCTTCTGCGTACCGTACAGATGTTAGAGCCATTAAGCAGGGAGCAAAAGAAAGCAAAGCAAAGGTAAATCGCTACCTAAGTAGCCAGTCAGGATGGGAGGATTTGCAGCTCTATGTGAGTGCAGACAAGAGCTGTGATTAGACAAGAGGACCAAAGATAAGCCAGTTATAGCCAAGATTTGGGTTACTGTGGCACATCCTCTAACCTCTTTGGTCTGATCGTTAGCTTTAGTTGGCATCACTCTGTGCTTAGATACTCGCAGCCCCTGGAAGCACACTTAGGCTTACTATGGCTCATCATTTAAAGTCCAACAACGAGTGCAGAAAGCAGATGCACTGGATTCACGTACATCTAAAGGTTTGTGCGCGTAACTTGGCGAGGATAAGACCAGTATCAACAGCAAGCAGACTGAGGACTACCTTTACATACTGCAGCAGTCACACAATGAAGCCTCACAGGAGCAGCTTAGCTTTAAGCACTATAAAGGTCCAGAATCACACAGCAGGTGGAAGGCAGGCGGATTATGGGTTGATTTAATTTGAAAAGCTTGTGAGACTCATAACATCAGGCTCATACCTTCACATTACATCATCTGTTGAGTAGGAAGAGAAGCAAGCAGGGCTAATGAGGAGGTCCGGAGGATGAGGTCACCTGTCAAGATGGATTCAACGCCTGCGCCTTAAATCACTGAATATTCAGTAGCTCACAATTCTGTGAGATTGTGTCACGTTGTAAATCTCTAGCAAGACTTACTACACAGTTTACAGATGCACCAGAGGTGTGTCAGTTTAAAGTCATCTTATCATCATTCACATGGCCTGTTCTTTAATGTTTAAGCCCAAGGTTCTTCCTCATGCACTCTCTCCCTGCCACCATGCACTTAAGCCACTCCTCAGAGCAGAAACGGTGTATAACCAATATAACAAATAACTATATTCCCTGCTCAAAAGACATGTATTGGGAAAAAACTGTAATACCTTAACCATAAAAAGAAAACAAAAAAAAGGGCTACAATTCTCATCTGATCGGCACTGATTAAAGAGATCCGGCAAACGTCGGGTCTAATCTATCAAGCATTTCAAAGAGGGATAGTAAAACCAGATTTCAAACACATGCTACCCATCCGCCGTTGTCTACGGGCTGGACGTCGGTGACATCAGTGGATGTAGATCATTTTTGCTATTCTGTGACTTTTCAGTCTGATTGCATTCACGACTTCACTGCGTAATGAGGTCAGTTAAGGTTCAGCGTTCTTGCAGACTGACCTGCTGGGCCCGGCCCTCTAGATCCCTCTGGCGGTTGTGCGGATCGATTGCGGTGCGGCTGGCGCCGTCTCCCACTAGCGGAGCGGACGGTGCGGATGTGCACTTCACTGACTTTAAAGAAGGCCACCATGAAAGGCTGCTTATCCAGTGCACCGTCGCGTCCTACGAGCCCCGCCTCCTTGGAGCTGACGCTCTGTCCTGTTTAAAAAAAAAGATCACAGTAAGTACGAACCACAGAAGATCAAAAACTTCCAGCAATGACTGCTGACCTTTACTTTGCTGAGAGAAAGTGATGCATTTTAACTGCTCCAACTATGGCTTTGTATTACAAAAGAGATGTGCAATTGGATCCCTCACCGCTGCTGGTCTCCACACTGATCTGCAGACCCAGGTTGTGTGCGGGACTCATCACCCACAGGTTACTAGTGGCAGTGATGTCAAACTCCAGCCAGCCCTCCTCAGCTGCCCACAGCCTGCGAGACTCCAGCAGGAACAGATCTGCCTCTCTGTGACATAATGGCAAACAAACACCAGAAGAAACTTATTACACGAAACATTAGTAATACTTGTGCCAATACTGGCATTTGTACATGGATGTACTGGAACGGTATTAAAAATGGTTGTAGTCATCTCATCTGACCAAAGAACGTGCTTCCAGTTTGCATAATCTTTCTCCACTCGTGTCTTGGCAGTATCTAGTTATTAGATATAATTCTCACTAGTTTTCTTCCCAGAGTCTTTGAAATATTTCCCTTCCTACCTCTGACAGGCTTGTTCTGCACTGTGTGGCTCTCTTTCAGTGTCTTGATGATTTTTCTCATTCCAGTTCTTCACATTTGATAACTTAATACTAAACTCACATCTTTTGTTTGTGGTGGTAAGATGCTTTCTCAGGTGACAGCTCAAACTGCTGCTGAGGTTTTTATACTGTGTGTAAATTGGAAGATAGAGTGTTTTAATGTGATTTTCCAATCTTTGACCATTACAAGGTTAAAGCACATCATTGCATAGCAGAGGTTTGTCCTGCATAAAAGTCAACAAGAACACCAGTTTTCAGGGGGGCAATGATACTGAGCCTGGTAATTTATGCTATTACTGAAATAATTCTGTCATTGTTCAAATAGAAATAAACTACACAAATAATTTTGTCCTCATCTGTATTAAGTCAATTAAATACAAGCTGCTATTAGATATTATACTGCACTGCTAAAAGTGCTATGATGGACCTAATGCCTGAACTATGCTTCCAGGTAACTTGACGTCCACCCCCCAAGAAATGTAACGACACATCTGTTTGACGCAGCCCACAACGACTGAATGTGGAAAGCTATAATGTGAGGTTAAGAAGGAGTTTCCAGTTACGTCGTAAGTCACGACATAGATTTCCCGCAGAAGTCTAAATTACGCTTAAGGAGTCAGCTGTGCTGCTTTTCACCGGCAGCAGATCATTTTGGGTCCATGCAGCTTTACATTTTTGCCTTTTCGATTCATGATTAATAAATTCTGACTCAGTAAAACTTGCTGCTGTGTGGCTCTCCCTCTTTGATGTCCTCAACAGAAATGACAATTTATATAAGTTTGGTTTACTGCATTCAGTCTTATGTATAAAACAGGGGCACAAAGAGCATCACTGAGATCACGCAACGCTAGAAAGGTCAGATCTACCGCTTTAAGAAACCAAAGACCCAGAAGCTCTTGGTTTCTATCGAGGTAAGAGTATCATAACAAAATGACAGGAAGATGGATAGCGGCACTTAACAAAAAATGCTGGGATACTGTATTCTACTCTAGCGTAGATCTGACCTTAAAGTCTACATCTCTGAGGGACTACGAACAGGAAGGAATTAAAAGTATGATATCAGGCTACATGCATGTTAATATCATTTACAAAAAAACAAACAAAAGTGAGTTCATCGAATCAGGCTTCAAATGTGTCAAAAGAGGAGGGAGGTAAAATTAGTGACAGCAGAGGAGATGTAAGGAAAAGACAGAGTGTGAATGATAAGAGGCCTCTGTCCTCCCACCGTCCCATTACAGCAGTAATAACACTGCGGCGGTCCTGTCAGACACTCCTCCACGAGACACATCAAAGCCTCGCAATCATCCAGGTGTTCAGAGAATGTCCCTGCAGTCATGCTTCAGCAGCCTCTCTTTATTGCTCATTAATGAGTGTTTCTGACGGCTTCCGTATGAGCACCTACACCCTGTTTTCCTACACGCATATGGTACTCCACCCTACTGCTGAGTTCGCACATTTGTCCCAGGTGCACTTGTGTTTCTGCATCATTGTCACGTAACGCTCGCGTGACAGAGAACAGCAGGAAGTCGGTGAGAGAGACACCTGCAGGGTGACGGTCTACTGTACGAATGTGTTATTGACTGGCTGCTTTAAATGAACTGGAATAATAAGGTCAAGAGTCAAAGTCGTGTTTCTTTGTACCATAAATCCCCTTTATGAGTCTTGTCAGTGACTTGTTAAAATTGTTATCCAAGGTAGGAAAGTGTGACTCGCAGCTGGCCTGGTTATTTCACATGCTTTCGTCTTTGAAACTGGTGCAATGGCATATTTGTAAGACCTTAAAAACGATACATGAGTCAGACATCTGGAGGAAAAGACAGAGATTGCAAGGACTAACTCTCATGAGCGGGTACAGGACAGTCTTTGTCTTTACTCAACACAAAGTCATGCCGGCCACCTTTTTTTTTTTGCATTGTAATCTGTCGCATTCCTCAGCCGGGTGTCAGGCTAATTAAGCGCTCTATCATTACAGCTCGGAGTCAGAGCACGAGTCAGGTTTTATGGGAAGGAGGAGCACGAGAAAGTTAACGGGCTTCCCGCTGATTATGAAGGGACGGTTTTGCAAAACGGGGAAAAAACAGTAATGTTTTTTTCTCATGTACGTGACAATACCTCAGATGACATCTGCACTGATTAGATCGAATAATGTAAAACTGCAGTTACAAGGCGTTATTATGCATGCAGTTTATTTTCTCCATCTGATAACAAGAAGAGAAAGCGAGAGCACAAACCAGCCGCTGTAGGGACAAAGGAGAAAATAAATGTACTGTGTGTGAATCCTCTGACAGACTGAATTGGTTTTATTTAACACAAAAGAATTAATCAAGTGTAACAGTTTGTCATTCATCAATGGCTTTTTAAGGAGAGAGTTCCTTCGGCGTGTATTCACTGATAGACTAAATATATCGAGCTATGTAAGGCTAAAAACAGATATCAGACATTCTCTCCATGTTTGTGCTGGTCGACGGCGGGCGGGCTTGATAAAACACAAATGTCATTCAGAAACTCTGTTTATCTAGCCCTGCAGTCTTAATGTACAGTAAATGTTTAGCATGCATTAGCCGTGCTTTTTCTGGTGAGGATTTTGAAGTTGTGCTATTTCTGTAATGCTTGATTTTACATGATAAACACAGCAGCTGCCAAAAGTATGTGCAACGCACGGGGAGAAGGAAAGACGTTTTTACACCTCGATATCCAGAAAATGTGAATGTGAATGCTTTTGGAGCCTACAGGAGCCTACAGGAACCTACCTGCAGGGCCATCGACGTGCACGTGTTTCACAGCTAAGAGCTGCTGAAACCCAAATAATTAAAGGAAAGTTTAGTAGCTCAGTCCCAATACATTGTTGCACAAAAGCCTTGAGCTGAACCTCATTTCTTAATATTTTGCTGCGCATCGAGTTAGTGAAACATGCAAACAAACATGGAAATACAGTATCCAGTTAGCTTGTACAACAACAGAGTTTGTACAATTCGATCTTGAAAGTCAGAATTTGGTATGAACTTCTTTATTCTTCAACAGCCTGAATTCTCCACGGCAGCTTCCTCGTCATTGCTTTAAGTAGTCTTCAGGAATGGTTCTCCAGGCATCTTCAAGGACATTCAAACTCTTCTTTGGATGTTGGCTGACTTTTGTTCTGTTCTCTGCTGAGATGTCAGATGCTTTCCAATAGCATTGCGTGGTGGATTAAAGTCTGATGGTATTTTTCTGCGTTCGTAATTACATCAACTTTGACAAGATCTCCAACACCACTGGCTAAGTTGCAGCTCCAAACCATGACCCAGCCTCCACCCTGTTTTTCAGACGGTTGTAGACACTCACTTTTGTACCTCTCTCCTGGGCTTCCTCACATACTGATAATTTGGCTTCTTCACTCCATCAGACATGTTGTCACTGATTTTCAGTCCAGTTCTTGCATACTTTGGCATACAAAACCATTTTCTTTCTGTTTCCCTTCCTTAAGGATGGCTTCTTAACAACTGAGACTATTTCTGATAAGGCTTCAGATCCTGTCTCATGTCTTTTCTGGATTTTTTTCCCCGTTTCTCAAGGACATGAGGTTCAGATACTGTTCATCTGCTGTAGATCTCTGCAAATGTTTCTAAGGACACACTGCACACCATGCTGAGATATGCCAAGTTTTTAGCTAATGGCTCTTTGGAAATGACCTTGTTTGTGCAAAAACACTATTTTATGTCTGTCACACTGTGTTATCTTCGGTATTTTTCATAAATTCAACTGCTATTTGTGCTCCACAGCTTTGGTAATAATCAAATATTCTCAGCTTCAGCCAGAGAGGTGGAGGTGAGTAATTTTATGACCCCCAAATCAAACCCACACATAAGTTACAGATATCTGCTCTGCTGTGATCTCACTGTAAGTGAGACGGATGTAAAGTGCTCGAGCCAAGATCGTGCACATTTAGCACGGATAAAAAAAATTCATACAACTGAAAACCAGTAAATGATTATTATTTATTCAAGTACATTTTAAGAAATGTGAATAAAAGAGTATGCAAGAAAACCAAAACTCCCATATTTAAGATATAGTGTGGTATACACAATTCTGAGACTATTAACTTATTATTTCTTTTTGTTTTTCCCAAGTTAGTATAAAAATACTTTTATAGTTTTGCACAAACACAGATGAGACAATCAAGAGAAAATCTAACAGTGAATCGGACTTCAGCATAGACGTTGGAAACTCTGTAAAAGTTTATATGCTACCTGTCAGGGTGCTCCTTGACCACCTGGTAGACTTTCAGCAGGAAGGTGTCGTTGCGGAAAGCACGACTCACGCACTCCTTGTAGAGGCGAAACTCGGCGGCGGTGATGGCCTCGCCCTCTGGGATCTGCGAGAGGTTGAACTTGAACTCCTTGTGGTGACGCCTGTGCGGTGAGAGCTCCCTGTCGTACTCCACTGTGGGTTAGAAACACATACGCATGCTTTTAGGACCATAGCTCACACAAGGCGAGATATAAACCAGGGTGAGGAAAAAAGCTATTAACGTAAAGCTAAATGAAGCTAATGTTCATCAGAAAAAAATGGCAGGTTGATTTGTGCTCCTACGGATCAAATGGTAATCATGTCTTTTGGCCCATATGCTCTCTTTCCAGCAGCTTGATTCAAGCTCATGATCCATTTTCCACAAATAGGATCAAATTATAGATCCGCAAACAGGGTTTCATCGTAAATCCGCAGTAGTGAATGATGAGCGGATATCCTTTTCAGACACGCCTTTAAAGTATGTCAAATATGTGATTTATACATAAACTCTAATAGGTTTCTTGGCTTCCACTTGCTATAAATAAATCCCTGTTATCATCAGTTCACAGCAAAAGGCCAAAAGCAGCAAACTTAGAGTCACTCTGCGACCACTTCTGACAGCGTGAAATGACGAAAACCAACAAAATTCTCTCCCTCCTATGTTTTAAGTGCAATATGCACCATAATGATAACGTGCTCTCCGGGGAATCGTTTCCGTCTCTGCTGGAGGTTTCTCTCCCACAGCGAAGGACCCGGAGAGTCGACAGACACGGGGAGTAAGACGGGGACAGGAATAAAGAGGACAATTAGAAGGCTGTGTATAGAAATACCCAGGCCAACACTAACAGTAGATGTTATACTCATCAACGCGCTATTCTCACCCCATCACACTTTAAATAGACTCTCGTACACCCCACAGGCATGCTCACACACACGCTCTCTCATCATCTGCAGTTACCGCTCAGTGCAGCGAGGTTCAGCAGACTTTTCACCCTCACCGACTGAGCGCAGACCAACTTGGTACCACAGTCAGACGTATACTACCACCTCAGTTTTTCACCCACTGTGAGATCGAACACAGGCCACGTTTTCACACGACTTAGATCCATCCTCTGCCTTGATCCGTGGCCAGTCTCACGCTCCAGTTTGAACTGGTCTCACTCCCAAACTGACCCACATGTGCAGCAAACGCCTCCAGAGAAACACAGCCACCACATCTAACCCGCTGTTGGAATACAGTAAACATGGAGGGGGCTGCAATGAGCCTTTATGCTCTCATTTATACATTTATGTGCAGCTGAAGGCAGAAAATTTATAAACATGACAATGAGGATGAGAGGGGAGATAAAAAGAGTAATTATGGCTTTTTGCTGAGCAATGGCTGTATTCAGTTGTGTGTGGGCGTGTGATGTAAATAGCTTCATTCCTGCAAAATTTCAGGATGTGCACTTTTGTCACCGCCAGCCTGAAGGACTCTGTGGAAGGACGAATGATTTGTTCATTGTTCAGACAAATCAGAAGTTTACAAACACAAACCTGAGGCTCCAAACCAGCAAACTGCAAAAACCACAAAAGCTTTTATGGAGGTTCTCACAGTTGATGATCAGTTAATGCATTTGAGTGCATCGATTGGCTGCTACTTACTCTTTTAATTCCTGTGGAAGCAGGACTGCATCGAATCCTGTGAAAACTGTCTTTTAAACTGGATCATACCAAAGCTAAAGTACCAAAGTTTAACTTATTAAACTTAGTTATTGAGACTGTACAAAACAGGGGGAACACCAAAGGACCAACACAGAAGTCAGCACACACTGACTAACACCTCTATGAGGAAATGTTACTAAAATATATCAAATCAAAGGTAAAGGATAATACACTTGGTATAAACTAAGTATTTAACAATTAAGTAAATTACATTTGACTAAATTACATTCAATGTAACATTTTAAAATTCAATAAAATAACATGGAAAATTACTTAAAGTCAGCATTTAAGGCATAAATATTTATAGGAGTGCTGAATAAAAGTTCATTTTATTAATTATAACATAGAAACATGTTTCCCAAAGACTTTAATTTAATCTGATCAAACGTTTGCCCTTTAAACCAGGGCTTTTCCCAAGTTTTGGCTTCAGGGACTCCTTATAGACCAGCAGTCCCCAACCTTTTTTGCACCACAGACCGGTTTATGTTTGACAATATTTTCACGGACCGACCTTTTACTTCCTAGGACCTGGAGTCCACGTATGTGGACATCACATTTTGGGTTTTCTAGACCAAAATACTTAATTTTTCTCTACTAGGGCCTGATATCCACTTACGAGGACATTATATTGCCGCTGTTCTATCAAAATTTAAAACCAATGTCCTCATATGTGGATGTCATTTGTCTCAGAAACAAAAAAAACCCTGAAAACCATAAATTTCACACCCGAGCCTCAACTCTCGCGGACCAGTACCGGTCCATAGCCCGGGGGTTGGGGGACCGCTGTTACAGAGGACAACATTTTCCAAGGACTTCCTCATAAACCTGATTCTGATTTATTTTGTTTGGTCTTAGCGTCCTTGAAGACGTGGATCTAAATATTTCTTTATGATCACCACCAGCTACCGAGTTAATATGCCAAACTACACAGTGACAGCAGGATAACCGACCAAAGATGACATGGGAGGGACTAAAGGACAAAGTATGCCTCCCTTATTGAAATATGTGATCACTGGTCACAGCATGAATCAGTCAGTTAGATTTTATTTAAACAGAGTCAAAGATTAATTTTGCATACTTTTACAGTCCAAATCTTAGGTAAGAAAGTTACAGTTTTGTACCTGAGCCAGACTTGTTAAAACCTTCTGGTAATTTTTATGATGTGGGGATCCACCCAGAAATGGACCGATGACACATTTTCCTCGAGTCATAGCAGAAGAGAAACTGTGTTGATGTGAGAACACTGGAACTAATCAGACTCTCCCAGAAGTGCCAGCTCCACCTTGTACCTACACCCTGCAAGGTCAAAGCTCCCCTCATCTCTGGACATTTTCAACTTTTACATGAACGTTGAATTTGAGTGAGCAAAAGGAGGACCACGAAGGAAGACGTATCTTTCTGGCTTCACAAAAAAAAAGCAAAAAAAAAAAGCAAGCTGATGTGACTTAAATCAAAAGATTATAATAAAACGAAGCATCTCAGTTTACGTCTGTGCGAGGTCTGCCGATCTGTACTTCAAACACTTTCCACTGGAGCAAAGGAAACCACCTATGGAGAACAAGCTGTTATTCACATCAGCGTCACTGCGACTTTTATCAGATGTGACAGTGACCATTTCATCATCTTATTCCAGAAGCTGCCCACACACACACACACACACACACACACACACACACACGTGTTATATGTGATAACAGGTCTGCTCTTGTGTTCAAGGGTGGATAGATCAGAAAAGCGTTTGTGTCTGGACGCCTTAAACAGAGGTCATGCACCCTAAATGACTTTACAACGCTCGCTTCAACACCCCTGAGCTTGAATACAAATCGCTTGAAATGTGATATTCCCCGTTTAACTGTTTTTTGCTTGAAAGCTCTCTGATAGACTGTAGGTTGGTGAGAAGGTCAGGAGGAGTTTAATGTGGTGACTGTTTATTATATTTCCTGAAATAAATGGTAAATGTATAAAATAAAACAGCAGGAGCTCAAACAAAGGATTAAAAGCATGTGGAAGACAGCCCTAGTCTAACTGCGCTCAAAGCCAAATTATCTCATGGACGGCTGAACTACAGCCCTTAAAGGTGTAATCATAAAAGTGAACCTACATTTGCATATTTGGTATTTATTTATAACATGTAAAAAGACAGCTTAAGGCTACTGGTTAAATCAGCTGGCATTTAAATTATTGTGCCCATGTTAACGCAGGTTTGCTGCTAACTATGGGCAGTTGTGAGAAATTTCCCAGATTTTTATTTACGCTTAACAGTTTTTCCACCAGGCTGCTGCCTTCTTTCACACACAGAGACACAAAATCATTTCATCAGCATAGCCATGGTGCTCCAACAAGCAGCTTTAAGGAAGCACTAAGACTGTTAGCCATAGACTGTATAGAATAGATGGACATAGGCCTTTGGAATTCCAGCTATTCCAGCCATCGTGGTGTTTTGTAAAGATGTGTTGAACCTGACTGGAAACTACATTCTTCTATCTCAGCTAACTGTCAATCACAAGCTAACTGGGACAATCTCTTAGAAAATGAACATAATTCTCCACACAACCACACAGAGCTCGCACTCTCCAGGTGTTTGACTGAGGTATTAAATGAAGTTAGCAGTAGAGTCATTTTCTCATAACCTTACTTATAAAAAATCACCTTCATTTGGAATCCAGCACAGCTACCTTTCAGATGGCTACTTCCATCTTTTACATACAGTCTATGGCAATACTAAGCAGTTTCCTGGAGTTCAACTGTAAACTTCTTTGCGTTTCCTGGAAACTCCCAACAAAATTTACTACGATCACACAGGAGAAGTCTCGATCATTCCAGGCAAAGAAAAAAAACAGTTTTTGCTAAGGTGGAAAAAACCCTTATGCACCATTTTCAGAAGGCTCTGATGAAATTCACAGTTTTCACATTTATTTTCATCACTTCCAAACAGAATCTCGAGGCGCTCCTCAGCTCGCTCAGCCTCATAATGAGCCTGCTCAAATCAATCACATTGCTAATTTCAGAGAGGGGACTCGCTTTAAACAGCGTCTTTATGAAGACAAGCAATTAAAGGCATGAAATATGGAGACAGACTCAGCCTCACGTCTCAGCACAGCCCTTTGCAAAGCAGCCTGGGAGCCACAGTGTTAGCAGCTAAGTAGCATTCCAGCTGCTTCTCCACCTTCTCAGCTTGAAATTCGATTGAAATCCACTGAGCTTTCGCATCTAAAATCAAAGGGAAGCCTTCACACAAGCAGCATAACCTTTGCGCTAATCCACCATGACGAGGCTTTGAGACAGGAACACACAGAAAGGAAAAGGGATTTGGATTTGGGTGATTCACAGAGGAATTTATTCGAAGCGGTTCTAAAGATGGGAAAAGAGTTATAATTACAATATTCATAGTGAGGCATGGGTGTGTGACCTCGCTGTGTTTTCATTCCATCGCTTATCACCAGTTCTTG